GCTAGGACAAGGGTGGTGAGGAGCAATAATACAGAGTTAGAAAGAGACCCTGAAAGCTCATTACTCATATTTGTGGAACAAACTGAAGTGAGAAAGACAGCAGAGTGGAGAAAGACAAGAGCTTTGGACAGGCATTATCATGGTGTGCAGCACCGCTCTCTCTAGGCCAGTCTCAAGGTGAAGGTAGTAGAGAGAGCAGAGAGACAATTTATCAATCACTTACCTTGTCTACTTCATATGCTTAAGACTTTAAAAGCAGCTTTGGGCTTAACAACATTTGATTTTGCAGAACCAAATTAAAACAGGTTTATTCCATGCTGAAAAGAGCCGAAAGGAAACACAATGTTTCGGCTGTGGAGCCTTCTTTGGGTGTCTCAGAAGTCCACGGCCGAAATGTTTCTTTGCAGCCTATGCATGCTGACGCAGCTACCCATCTGAACTATTAAAATAAAGCTGCCATGAAAACTGAATCAGTCAACAATGGGTTGTGGTACATATACAAATAAGAGCACACATTCCCAAAGATGACAACATAGAACAGCTTCATGCAACTGGGGACCATGTGCTTTCATATCAGCAGGGCTGCAATGGTGAGAATGATGGGCCTATCAATATAGCATGCATCTGTGCATACTTTTGGTATCTTTACAGTGGTTCTGTATATGTCCACAATTAATTGCTCCGCATTGTGCATTTTCAGTGAACTAAATATACATTTACCCTGTTGAGTGTGTGCAAGATTTTAATCTTTGAATAAGCTCTTTTTATAAGTTATAACTGCGAGGCCACAGGGCATTGACACACAAAAGTTACAGCATAAGACATAATATCTAATTAAGAAGTCAGAGCAAAGAGTCACTTAAAGAATAAGAACATGTATAAACTGTTCTACTCTGTCAGTCCAAATGTGAGTCATTTCAGATCAGATAAAATCATATGCAGTCAACCTAGCTCTATTCCAGATCAGTGTAAAATTCAGTGATTCTTTCAGAAAATACTGCAGTGGCACTACACTGAAAACATGAACTGCTCTTAATACCCAAAACTGTCAATACATATTTGGCTCATTGTGCAAGAATTAAAAAAATAACAGAATCAATTCTTTCGTTTCCATTCAGCTGCTCACCATTTTAATTTTCTTTTGATCAAAACTCACTGAATGACTTAACAGTCTATAGTAGATCATACATTACTTTGCAAACATATTCATTGTGCACAATTTTCACATTTTGAAACTTGCAATTACCACACTCTAAAGTAGCAATTAATGTTTGTTATGTTTGTAATATACATAATGTACTCTAAACATTCAGACCAAAAAAGAAAAAATAGTAAATAACTGATAAATAGGAAAGAAAAAGTGAAAAGTAATGGTAACAGTTTTTCAAAACTTATGCTGTAGCAGACCTAAATTAATTTAGGCGCACAGAATTACCTTAACAAGCCACACAATTAGTTGCGTGGCCACTGCCAGTGAACAATAATAGTGGTTCACATGATTTCAGAATAAATACACCTTTCTTTGTAGGATCCCCCAGTCAGATAGTGAAGTAAGTAGTTTCAAGCAAAGATTTAACCATAAAGACCAGTGAGTTTTCAAAACATCTCAGATATAAAGTTGTGTAAACTATTTATTGAAAGTTGATTAAACATTTACTACATAGCTTTAGCGGAAATGCTAAATAGGCGTGGATCTCACAAGCCTAACTTCTGTATTTAGAACTGGTAAGATTTTGATTTCAATGCAAAAAAGGAATCTGTGAGGTACTTGTGCTATAAGATTGTAAGCAAAGATTAACAATAAGCAAAAAAATCATTCAGATTTACACTTCTGACTGAATGATACACACACAACCCTGAACCTGTATTTTTAATTTCAATTCCTTTTGGAACAATTGAAAATTTTGATTCTCGCTTTTAGATCTTTATCATCTCTGCAATTAAAGTTCATAAACATTATATAGTGTTACGTCCATGTAGCGGCGAGGCTTATTAATAAGAAAGAATTAAGTGTTCTGAGCCTTCCCAAATGAGGCCCCATTTCTCTGTTCATCTCTGTGGTGCAGCCACAGAGAAACTATTCATGCAGGCTGATTTAAGGTTCCTGATAAGGACAGCTCCCAAAGGGGGATGCAC